TAAAGTAGGGGCTATTTGCCAACTCTTCTGTGAACAGCTCATAGCACCACAGCATGACTCAAGGGATCATGAGAACAAATTACAAGAATAGCAAGTTGTGGAGCCAAAACTAAGTAAGAAAGTTTAAAGAAAAAAAGAAAGAGCAAGGTCTGACATGAGGTCCTTGAGGCAAAAATTACATGCCTGCACTTCTCTATGAGTTTTGTAATGTTGGCAGATCAGCCTTGCTGCACCAGGCACTGTGGAGCGTGCCCGCAGCCCTGCCCTGGGCATCCGATATGGCAGCCTGCCTGGCCGTGCTGCTGTCCCTGGTCCCCTGCCATCCCCAGGATGGATGGTGGGTGAGCACAGAGCATGGCGTGGCAGGAGGGATGGCAATATCCTCTACTTTTCCTGTAGGATATCCTCTACTTTTCCTGTAGAGTGACTGTTCCTGGAGCAGAGACCGCTTCCATCAGGAGGGAGTATCTCATTGGTATGTGGAGCAGAAGCAACAGCAGCTGCCAGGCACTTGCTGTGGGCACAAGGTGCCACTATGCTGGGAATCTCCCTTCCCAGTTCTCAGGCCAAAAGTCACTGTATGTGAAAACATCTTCCCAGAGTCACCTGACAGTGTTGGATGGTGATTGAATTATATATAAAAACATGATCACACGCATCCCTGCTGGTACCCCACGCTGGGCAGGGAGAAGCAAGCAGGCAGGATGTGGGGCTGCTTCTACCTGCTGCGGCTGGCACTTCAGGGTGCTTCTGGCCTAGCCCCTGTGGTTGGGAAGCCAGCCTTTCTTCCTGGATCAGGTCCCAGACTGTCACCCATCTCAGGTCAAGCTCATTGCCCTTCAGGATCCTCCTTGCTTGTCTGCTTCTCAGTGCAAGATTTTTTAGGGCAAATCAGAGTGGATGTGCATGACACCTTGCCCTGTGACAGTCCCCTCTGCAACTGAGGCAAGTATTGACAAAGCAAATGTCACCAAAGAAGCAGCATGGTTGCTTTGCTCCAAAACAAAGCCTGGACTCCTTGACTGGGATGCAACCTTTGTCCAGACATCTCACCAATGGACTTGTGAATTTTCTCAGTGTCAGCAAAAGTTTTAGGTTAATTTGAAGTCTCATTTGTTCATAAGCTGAGATCATAGGGACGGTCACAGAAAAAAAGGCGTTTCATCCTTTTATTCCCCTCCTTCACCCATGGATGAGGCTGCCTTGTGTACAGCTTGTATCATACACCTGTACAGCTTTTTAATTTTTTTATTGTTTGCACTAATGGTTTTAATTCTGGACATTTTTGCATTGGAAATGAAAGGTCTGTAGCTTTCACAGCACAGACGGGAGATAAAAGCACCATAATCACAGAGCAGGGTCTATGACACTTTTTCCAGGAAGATGCTAAAGGCATTATTTGGCATTAGCAAAGAAAGGGATAATTAGAAAATATGCAAAGAAGGCTTATTCCTGTAATTAATTTCAAAGTTGGAAGTTCCATAGTGCTTTTATGTTCAAAAGTGACAGCACATGAGCCATCACAAAGGGGATGTATCTTAACGTAAATCAGAAAGAGGGGGACATAGAAACTTGTGTTTCCACTGTCTTTAAAAAGAAAAAGCTTCAGTCAGAAGTTACTGTGTATTCTGAATCTATGTGAAAAAAATACAATTATAAACAAGTATTGACACATTACATGAAGGGCAAAAGGAGGATATAGACAAACTTGGTTTCCAGGGATATTGGACATTGCTCTCCAGAGAAAAATAATGTTCCAAAGTCACTTTGATAGCTTGAGGCTGTGACTATGTTTGCAGCTGCTTTTTTGCACTTATTTCCTACAATTACTATCAGTCAGCCCCAGTGATGGTAGCAATGATGGAAGAAGAGTTCAGCAAACTTCCTCTACCTCCAATTTTTTTAACACTGTTCAAAACTGGTTTTGAACAAGTCTAAATGGCTCTTCTTTAGGAATAACAGTAGCCACAGACACCCTGGTTGCAGCCTTGCTCCCATCTGGATCTTCAGCTTTTTGACAGGTAACCTTAACATCTTGCCTTGCCATAAGATCAAAAATAAGCAAAGGAAAATGGCATTCAGAGTTCTCTGTATAGTTTTATCCTTTCTGCCCTCAGTCCATGGCTGTTGCCCCCATCACCATGTCCACAGTTGCAATATGATTTGGTGCAAAATGCTGTGATTGTGAAGGTATCAGCCTTGCCACAACAGGTGTGATTGGATACCTTGGATAGCTTTAACATTGCTGGTTTTACTTGGAAATAGTGGATCTTCTTAAGTCACTGATGCTGCACACAGAACCATGCATTTAATACTATTTGTTTGTTTGCTTGTTGTGTTTTTTTTGGTGGTTTTGTTTTTGGTTTTTTTTTTGAGAGATTTACAGTTAGGCTTTTTGGTTTAATCTGGATTGAATTGATATTGTTGGCTTTGTATCCTGGGTAGTGTTGCCTTGGCTGATGACCGGTATAGGTGAACTTAACTCTCTTTGTGTCTCCTCACAACATGAGGAATTCGTGTCCTGCACACACTTGCAAGTTCCCATTTGTGCAAGTAATTTTAGGATTGACTCTAGAAAAATCATGCTTTCAGGGCAGTGTAGCATTTATTTATTTATATGCACCACCATTCATATGCCAAAATTTTGCCTGTGCACATACACTTGTATGCTCTTTTTATAATGATTTTATACTCATTTGCTTATGAGGTTGTTTAGATCTCCTTGCTTACAATAAAATCCAACTCTCTCTAGCTCTAGACCTTCAGCTTGTTGGCAGGTGAACTTGGTATCTTGCTGTGTAATCGGATCAAAAACACATAAAGGTAAGAAAATTGCATACCGGTTCTTCATGGCTTTATTATTTTTTCACAGTTTATTCAAGGACTTTCCATTTTTTAGATCCTGCTCCTGTTGTAGGTCCCACTCTAAGGTTTCTTTGCGTATTGCAAACAAATATGTGTATAACACAGAGCTATGCACAGCAACTCAGATTATGCAGTTAGCACTCGCTGATGGCAGCACTGATGGTGCACTGTATATTTATTTCCCAGTGCATGGCTAGAGTGTTTTTAAACATCAGTTTCCTTTTCTATTACTTTGTAATTTCTATATTGTGCTTTCATTACTTGAGCTTCAACACTTTGCTCACAAGCAAGTGATGCTATTTAAATTCTCCTGGAAATATTTGTAACACATGCAGAAATTAAAAAAATATTTGCATGTCCCTTGCAGAATTCTCCTATGGAACTGCTAATGGTTTTCTTACCTCACAACTGTATGAAAATACAATGTCCTGTATTTACCATTTGAATTCACTACAGTCATTGCTTAATTCAAGACAGATGAGCTGCTCTCCTCCTTCCAATAAAATTATTTTCTCCTGATGTGTGTGGTTCAGTCTTATTCTTGAATGTAAGCTGGGAAAGCCACCATGTTCACTGTTGCAAGTTAGTCTTTGACCAGTGGTCCCTGTGTACATTGCTTTGGATACAGAGCAGATGCAGCAAAGGACCCACGTGCTGGGAAGCTGCCCCATCCTACAGCCGAGGAGAGCACTTGCACCAGCTGGGGAGCATCAAGCTGGAGAATGAAGTGAGGCCCCCAGGACAGGCAAGCAGGATGCAAGGGCTTGTCAGCAAGAGGGGTCTTCTCTTATGACTCAAATTGCTGCTTTCCCTTACCACAGTGTTAAAAGTGCCAACCTTTCTAGTTCAGATTAGCAGCTCTGCTGAATTCTCCCCAGCACCTTGTTTTTCTTTACTTTTTGTCCTTGCAAGTTATTTTGTATTTTTTGAAAGACCTTGTTCCTCAGGTTTTGTTATTTTGAAGGCAGTTTTAATTCCCTTTTATTCATTTATCTCTTCATAGAATAAAGTTTATTAACTTTGGCAGAAAAAAATGTTTTAAATTTTAAATGTACGATTTATTTTACAAGATAGCAGCAATTATTTTAAAGTTATAATAATAGATCAAAGTCATAATGAATGTCAAGTACCTGAGGCATCTCATAAAAATAATACAGAAGAAGACAAAGGAACAAGAGGCCTGATAGAAGAAATATAAATAGCAATTTTAAGGCTCCAGAAAATACCATTTCCCACAATATTTAGATTTAATACTAACAGACAAAACCCTCTGTTTAGAGTACAATGTAAAGACACAACAGGACACGATGTCATTCTTTTACAGCCCATGTAAGATATATAGCTCTAAAACAAAAAATCTTCAGAGTCAACTTAGTAATGCAATGACTGATTTAAATTGTATGAAACATTCACAAGAATATTAACAGATTAGTTCAAAGTAAAAAATGTAATTTTTGGCAAAGATGTACACAAATTTCATCCTTCTTTGGCAATTGTAACATTTGGCTAAATATTTTTGAAACTTCCACATTTAAAATCTTTCAGTAGTTGATCAGACTGTGGAATTAATTTTTGCATAAATCTTCTTGAACCTTTTGATTGGCTTCCCAATTGTCACTGGGAATTTGTCATAAAAATTACATTAGCAAGCTTAAAATTATTGGAATGTCCCTAGAGTGAAGAGACAACTCAATTTTGATTTCTTTTTTGCATTATTCTTGCTCTTTGCCCTCCTAGAAGACAGAGCAACATTTTGGCTTGTCATAGGAAGGAGTCCGGCTTGACTACAGGCAGCTCCTGCCTATGGAGTGACCCAAAATAGACACCTGGCTCATACCCAAGCAATAGTTTCCAAGTGAACCAGCTCACAGCTCAATCTCAGCTATCTCTTACTGCCACAGACAGCATCTGCCACCTCGTTTATGCTCAGTAGCATATTTCTCCTCAAGAAGTAACACAGGCTACTTCCAGAATAAAGCATTATCCTCTGTGAATAGATTTAACATGATCTAGATCTTCAAAAGGTCTTCTGCTGTGGAGACAGACCACATATGCTCTAAGCCCCTGGACTGTAGCTGTCCTATTCAGCCTCTGTTGGATCACTGCAAATATCTTTAAGCCCAAGTCACCCCGGTGCTGCCATGGTTGGCAGGCAGGAGGCAGTCTGTGCAGGAAGTGTGGTCCGTAGGCTCTGTGGGCTGCTCCCATCCCATTTGGAAGATCTGACATGATGCTGCAATTTATTGCCAAGGTATTTAGGACTTCAAAGCAAGAAAAATAACTTAAATTCATGGTTCTTTTTGCTGTGAAAGGGAAACTGGTTCCTTATCCACTCCTCCTTCCAGACTGGGATATGACTCAGTTCCTGATAGTTTAAATATGATCAGAACCGATGCTGGATTTCTTTTGTGAGATGCGTTGTTGCTGTACCAAATGCTGAGGATAAAAATACCTTCTGCTGCAGTCTGCTGCTGCACTGGAAAACAAAAAGGACATCTTTCTTTAGATTGACTGTTACATAGCTGGAGGTAGATTGCTTTGCATCTCGACTTCAGTCAAATTTACAGTTCAGAACTTCCTATCTAATACAATCTAAAATTCTTGCAAAAAGAATGAAACATGCTTGTGCAATTTGGGTAATGGTGATACCTGGCGGATATACATCACGGGCAATGGTTTCAGAAAGACTGACTTTTTTGCTCAGCTTCAAAATGAAAAATATCACAGGGAAGCATGGGTTATTTGTGGTGCTAACAATGCATATTTTTGAGGGTCTCTGGTTTCCTGTGGTGCCTCATCCTTAATGCCCTTTGTTGTGAATGTGTTGGCACACATCCTTTTCCCAAGCCAAAAGCCACCTAGGAGTTGCAGCAGGAAGAATGTAAAGCAACATCCCACAGAATTTGAATGGTAAATTCTCAACCTATGCATGATTTGTCATATCAATCTACTCATTTGTGATAAATTACTAGTGTTTGGACAGTGCTGCAGAAGAAAAATGATTTCATAATACATCCTAAACCTATAACCCAAAGCATGAAAATCTCTATTTTAAAACAAGGGAATATCTAAAGCAATATTCCTCCATATATATTTTAAATAGTTTTGAAAGCCATAGTTTTATTTTGTCTCTGACATTACCTTTAAGTGAAATGAAGAATACAAGCAAACCTGCATCTTATAGGCAAAACCCAATAATATATATATGTAAAATTAAAATCGTAATTACTCATTTTGGGTGCCTGGCTTTAAATACTCTGAAAGTTCATTGATTTTCAAACGGCTGGAACTAAGCACAGTCTAAACACCAGGTATCTCCTAAGGCATTTCAAGAAGAATACTCCAAAGCAGGGAACTTAATATGATTATTTGCTTTTGAAAATCTTGACTGGGAGTGACATTTCTGTTAGCTAGATCCCTTAACTCCAGGTAATACACTGCAGAGATGAACAGCCCTTCTGTACATATGTTCATGTCTTTTTAAATGATACTTTAAATGCTAAGTGCTTTAGCTCACTAATAATCCCCCAAATACTAGTAGTATCAACATACTAGTCCTTATATGTAGTAAACCTCAAGATGGCAGTCTTGAACTACAGAGTTTTTCACGGAAGCTGATTATGAATTTCTTCCAAGGGAAAAAAATAAAAAAGGAATTTAATGGTGAGTGTGAACGTGTGCAGGAATAACCAAAGCAAATACCAAGTAGAACAGCAATATCAGACTAGGATGTCAATGCCTATAGAGTTCACGTGGCAAAATTTACTTGAAAGCATTGATTGCAATAAAAATGATTGTTGCTAGGAAAACAGATGTTGTGAACAAATCCATAGGGTTTTGAAGCTTCATCCATTTATTTCCTTGCTCACTGTTCCTTATTCACTACTTACTTTTCTCTCACAGAGGATGTTTTCATATTTCCTGACGAGTACCGTGAGGTTTGCCTAGGTGTTGCTTGGATTTGCCTCAGTTGTGATATAGAACGCTTGTGTGTTCACTATGCCAGTGGCAATGTTCTAGAAAAGCTGTGCCTCTCAGTTCCTCCTCCCACAGGTGACTTGTGTGCATCTGAAGGTGTTGTGCCAATACTTACAACAGAAGTCCCCGACAGCTTTGCCACATTTTTTCCTGCTTTCTCCTCATGCAGCATGGTGACAAAGAGAAGAAGCCCTGACATCCGACCTGCCCCTCATTTGGGTGCTGTAGAGCTAACCTACTCCTTGCCAGCCCCAAGTGAGCTCCTTGCTTTTTTCTTTTTACTTTTCACACACTGTAGCACCATCGCCTGCATCTCCACCTGACTCCTGGATGGAAGTCCTGCTTGTGGCTGTAGAGAGGCTGCCTCAACACTGCCTGGGGGTTGGACACATCTGCTATGCCATGGTTCCTGTGCAGCTATGGAGAAGCTGGCTCCAACCCCAGCACTGTGGTAGTGGTGGTGGTGAAATGCTGGCATAGGCAGCCAGACACCTCTGTTTCATGGGGTAATGAAGACCTTTCCTCAACCCAGGCTTATATATAAGCTCCCAGGCCTCCCAGAGCCTTTCTCCCTCTCTTCCTCCTCTTCCTTCTCAAGAGGAAGTTTTGTGGAAGTCAGAGATGGAACAGGAAGCAGCCATGAGGGACACCATGGATGACCATGGCTTGCAAAGACTTTTTGGCATCTTTCTCTCACAGTGATTGCTCCTCTCACAAGAGCCTTCCCTCCCTCAGCAGTTTTCCTTGGCTGTTGCTCCTCTCTATGTTGACTTTGGAGACTCACAGTCTTGGCTGTGTCTTATATGAGGTTAGGGTCATGGCTGGCAACCACCCAGCTCACCAGCCAGGCTGCTTTGCTCGCCACCCTCATAGCCACTGTGTCACTGTGTTGGAGCTGGCTGCTGAGCAGTCTTATGAAATCATCTGCTGACTCACCCTTCCCTTGCTTGCCTAAGTGAAATCATGCCTGACTTTAAAAATCACATTGCAGCATTACATGACATATTTATCCATTTCTTCCACTGCCATGAAATGCTTTGATAAGCAGCTATGAGGTTTCTGGATTAAGATAGTGGTCTTTCCCCCCCCCCCCACCTTTGTTTTTGTCTCTAGCATTTGTTTCTTCTCTGCATGCTGGAATAAATCTGAATCTGTTGAATCACCAAGGTCAGTCCTGGAAATTCTGGGAACTGCCTTCTCCAGAGCTGGTACAGGTGTGTCCCAAGGTAGGCAGCTCTGTATTTTAATGGTGTCTGTGTCTCTCACATGCTGTTTCTCTCAGGTATGTTGTGCAAGCCACAGTGGTCTGTCCACTTCGAGCAGCAGACTGACACCTCTGAGGGTGTCACATCACACCAGCATCCTTTCCTGTCATTAGCCTCCATCGCACATTAAAAATCTCTCTGGCCAAGGTTTAGTTCTTCAGTTATTATGCCTAGATCAGAGACCTTATTTACTTGCACCCTATTTTGCACAGCTGCAGTGTCCAAGCCAGGCTTTGGCAAAACAGGGAGATTAACTACCCAAGACTCTCTATCAGGCATGAGTAATGGATTTTGGAGATGGACAGACAGGGAAAAAATGAGTGGGATTTTGTTTATATTGAGTCAAAACACAAAACTTTTTTTATTTTGACTACTGAATAAGCCATTACATTGCATTTTGGTAATTCCAAGTACTAGTTTTTATTCTGATTTCATTACTTTTTGATTCTGATTCATCTGACACTTTAATAACACTTTTACATCCTAAAATAGTAGGTTAATTTTTAATTGGGGAAAAAAAAAAGAAGTTGAAAGTTCTGATGTTTCCAAAATCTAAGAAAATAAACCCAAACACTTTGCTTTTTCAGAAGTAAAGCATTTCAAACTGAGTTAAAGAAAAATACTACTTCATGGTGGGTTTTTTTATTCAGGAAAAGCTATTTGCCAATTATGACATCTTAAATTTTTCATTTTGTGGTGATTATTAAAACAGTAAAGTAAGTATGTTTTGGTAAGTGATATACTACACCTTGCTTTTTCCATGCTACAGAGCTGCGAGAGCAGAGACATGGATACTTCTGGCTCTTCACAGACTGGTTGTCTCAAGGGCACTAAGAAAACCTTTTAAACAGAACAGTCAAGAGGATACTTTCAGTCCCAGAAGTCTATGTTCTACCATCAGAGAATTTACTAGGTAACTTGGGCACTTTTATGATGAGTCTGGCAATCTAACAGCTAGCTGTTTCCAGAAAGATCTGTGCTGCCAGCCTCTGCCTTTCACAGGTCAAGTCTATAGCCACACCATCATTCCCTCTGTGTCAGCACCAACACTTGGCCAAGCCCATAGTAAGGAGGTCTGGAGAGAGAAACAGGAAAAAAAAAAAGCAACCAAAAATAGTTCTACCAGAAAAAAAACAGTAGCCTTCTGCCAGGTTAGTCCCCAAAATCTGCTTTTCATGGACCCTGCCAGGTACAATGCCAGTGAGGAAAACCTAACCCTGAGCAGGGCCATCCTGAGCAGCAGTACCACAAGAGGCAGCAACACCATGGAGAGAGGGGACAGTTTCAGACTTGGTTTTGTGCCTCTCCTTTGCCTTTTGCAGTGCTGCATTTCCAATTTTCCTGTTGCTTTCTTATGTAATTTGAATTGTTTTGGGTGCTTGGCCCTGTGACATCTTCGTATCTCTATAGTGTTTTCTAAAGCATAAGTAGATCCTCAAAAGCATTAAAAAACTGTGGAGTACTCATGCAAAGATACAGCTCATCAGTTCAGATTGTTGACTTTTGGGGAAGGCTGAAGATTTCTTCTTTATTTTTAGAATGCTACAAATAAAGGCGTTTAACAGTCTTCCAAGTGAAAAGCATCATTTTTCTATCACTCCTGTTACACTGGTCATTTCCAGATCTTGAGTATGTACATATCCCCACATTTCTACCTGTTGTGAATAAATTCTGGGTTTTTCCATGCATAATATTGCCAAGAAATGCAAACACTCTTTGAGCTTTGACACTAGAAATTTTTTCTTTCACTAGCTGCAAGATGAAAACTAATGCTCCCCTCCGCCTTAGCCTGGAATACTGATTTGCAGAATTTCTCACTGGAAGACATGGTAGGTATTTTTAAATCTTTCTTCCTCTTTAATGTGAAGAACTATCTCTGGGAAAGTTTGAAAGATCAGGTCCACGGTCATCGTTTAGCCAAACTGCGTAATTCTTAGGCCTTTTAATCTTTTCTCATAAATCAATCCTCCAATCCCCTTAGTCGTATTTGTTGCTCATCTCTGAATTCCCTGCAATTTTGCAATTTACATTATAATTAGGGCTTAGTGAAACTGATGAGAAAGTGATTTTTGGGACTGACTTTTATACTGTTTGTAAATATTCAAATCTTGCTTTCCACAGGATCATGAGGGCCCCTGACATGCGTGACAATGGCAGGGGCCTGAGTCACTCCCATTCCTGGGGCAAGGGCATGTTTTCCCAGATTCTCCCACTGTGTCTTGCCACTAATTAGTATTCATTATCCCACTGATATCCCTGGAACTGTAACTGCCTACGGCGCAACTCATAGTGAATAAAGACAGGAGGATCTGCCCCAGCCTGTACCTAGTATCACTAAATCACTACCTGATTTTACTCAAGGTGAGCAGTGCTAGGCAGCAAGCAGGGCGATGAGTTGTAACTGGGCTGTTTGAGGGAACATAAGGCAGAAGGCAGAGATGTTCACTGAACAAATGGCTGTGGTGGTGGAAGACATTGCTGGGGAAAACACCCTTCCTCTGGTGTTTTTGTTGGCAATTGCATGCTCTGCAGGCAGCTGGGACTAATGTTGAAGCTAGAGCCTATACCCTGCAATTGCTGCCCTGCACCTCCCTTTGCTCTCAGAACTGCTGGGGTGCTGCTCACTCATGGTCCCTGTAACCACTGTCGGGAAGAATGCTTATGCAAATCCAGTGGGACTGAAGGTGGTTTGAAGATGGGAAACCTGAAGAAGATGTACAATGGGCAGAAGAGCAGTCACTGTCACTGCAACCACCTTCCCTGCCTCTGCTGGCTTGCTGCAGGAACATCTGCCCATGGGCAGAGCTCTCCCCTACACTGCACATGGAGCAGATGAGAGAGCACACATGATCCTTCGTGCTGGGAGAAGAATGTGGTCATCATAAACTTTCTCAGCCAGCACAACTTTTTTTTACATCCATATGTAAAGGGGTGACTCAGGGTAAAGCCATCTGTGAGCCTTTGTAGAAGAAGCCTGTGTAGAGAGTCCTTGCTGTACCTCTCAGAGCAGCTGCCATCTATGCCTCTCAAGGACCCAGAACTGATTTCTGATTCCATTTTTCTACCTGAAGTTTTCCTTCTCTTATGTGATGTCTGCAAAAATTGGGTATCTGCCCCACTGGCAACAAATAGAAGGCTCCTGTGAGAGTCTTAGCTCAAATGCAAGCTCCAGAACAACAATAAGAAAATAAATAACTGAATTCCTGCCTGCCTTTTCTACGCCCATAGACGTAATAGCCGTATTGTCATTTTGGTTCTGCTTCCTCTGAGTGCACATATAAGAAGCTACCAATGTATGTTTCTAGTCTCAGTCACACAAGTCAAAGAAAATTAATACTTTCATGTGTCCTCTGCTCACTTGAAATGTTTAAAGATTCTTGTAGGGAAATATCTCATATTGCTGTTATAGCATTGCTTTACAATAATGTTCTGTTATATTATAGTACCCTTTTCTTTACAGCATGGATGCTAGAGCCAAAAGCAGAATGAATGCTTCCATGTAAACATAAAGTAGGAGACAGTGCACTCTCCAATAAACCAGCAGTACCAGTGAGGGAAAGCAGCATCGTTATTCTGCAAACAGGAACACAGAGAGGTGCAACTCATCCCACTGCTGTTGCACAGGAATCAGGCACAGGGAGGTTCTGCAACTGAATCATTCCCAGCTGCTTGACTAGAACTCAAGTAAAAATACTTTCTCATGCATCATGTGCAGCCCAGTCCTCTCAACCTTCTTGAGCAAAAGAGTCATCAAATTCACTAATTGATGTGTCAATAAGGACTGGGTGGCTGTTTCTGTGCCATGCTGTCAGGCGAAGACCAACATGTATATATGCTGTCCCAATGTATCACCATGGCAACTAAAAATTATAGTCAGGAACACTGTTCCTTGTTTTTATCATGGCCTTCAGGTTCTACTTAGTGCTAACACAGTCAATTGTTTCACTATTCAAGTATGGATAGTGACACATTCTGAATATATGAAGACAAAGAGCTTTTCTCATTTATCTTTCTTAAGTCAGACCCAGAAGATAAACAAGAAAAAGAAAAAAAAAATCCACTCTTAATAAAGTGGACCCCAAATATTCTGCAACTCTACAGCAAAGAGGACTTTGTCCAAGATTTTAAATGTAACTGTTAATTTTATATGATGAACTTGCCTCATCTTGGATTTCCAGGAATCCACCCACTGTAGGAGAAGATCAGGCTAGAGAACCTGAAAGGTGCACATGGTACCTGATGAGATGCATCCATGGATCCTGAGAGAACCAGCAGATGAAGTGGCTAAGCCACTATTCATTATATTCCTGGAAGAAAGAAAATGTCACTCTTATCTTCAAGAAAGACAAGAAAGAGGATCCAGGGAACTACAGTCCAGTCCACCTCCCCTCCATCCATGGGGAAGTGAGGGAGCCAATAATCTTGGAAAACACTTCTAGACATACAAAGGATAAGGTGACTAGAAGTAGCTGGTGTGGATTTATGAAGAAGTCATGTTTGACCAATCTGATGATGAGATGCCTGGCTTGGTGGATGAGATGAGAGCTGTGGATATTTCCTGTTTTGGCTTTAATAAGGCTATCCATACTGACTTCCATAATGTCTTTATTGACAAACTGATGAAGTACAGACTAGATAAATGGTTGGTATTGTAGACTGAAAACTGTTTTCTCTGATCCACTGAAAGAGTTGTGATCAGCTTTACAAAGTTGAGCTGCATGAGAGTCACTGGTGGTGTACCCACGGGTCAATACTGGCACCAGTACTGTTAAACATTTTCATTAATGACTTGGATGCTGCGATGCAAGCTTACAGGTGATACAAAGCTGGATGCAAACTTACAGGTGATACAAAACTGGGAGGAGAGGCTGACACTCCAAATGGTTGTAGTGCCTTTCAGAGTGACCTCAACAGGCTGGAGAAATGAGTGTACAGGAACTCTGTGAAGTTCAAAGTGGGGAAAAGGCAATTCCTGCACATGGGGAGGAACAACACCAAGCACCAGTATGTTCTGGGGGCTGCCCATCTGGGAAGTAGCTTGGTAGAAAAGGACCTGGAAGTTCTGTTGAACACCAACTTGGATCCAAGCCAGGAAATTGCCTTTGTGATAAGACCAAACAACCTCCTAGGCTGCATTAGGCAGAACGTCACCAGCAAGTGACCATTCCCTTCTACTCAGGACTGGTGACACATCTAGAGTCCAGTATTGGGCTCCCCAGTACAAGAAAGACATGGACATACTGGAGCAAGTCCAACAAAGGGGTGTGAAGATGATTAAATGATTCTGAGAATTTCTACTACAAGGAAAGGCTGAGAGAGCTGGCATTGTTCAGTCTGGAGCAGAGAAGACTTGGGGAATATTATCATTGTCTAGAAAAACCCAATGGGATGGTTCAAAGGCTCTTCCCAGTGGTGCCCAATGACAGGATGAGAGGCAGTGGGAGCAAACTGAAATACAGGAAATTTCATTTAAACATAGGAGAAAAAATTGTCTTACTCTTACGTGTGACTGAACACTGGAACAGCTTACTCAGGTAAGTTGTGGAGTCTCCATCCTTGGAGATATTCAAAACCTGACTGGAATAGCCCTGAATAAACTGCTGTAGTTCATCCTGCTTTGAGCAGGGGGTTAGACTAAATGATCTCCAAAAGTTCCTTCTGTCTCAACAGTCCTGTGATTCTGTGATAGGACAGGAGAATGGTCTTACAAACTTCACAGTACTCCTTCAACCTAATTTTCTTTATCCAGGAAGTCTACTGTTTTCACTGTGATATGTGTTTTTGCTTTGTTAATTTCTTACTTTTATTAATTAAACTATTATCACCATTTATTAGATTAGTGATAGCAGGAGTAGGCCTGGAAGACAACAGTTGGAAAGGATTCCCCAGATATCAGTGGTTATTTGATTTGGATCATATTTTTAGTGTGCTGGGTATAAGGCCTGTAATACTCCAGAAGTGAAGCTTATATGTGAGCCTCAGCCCAGCAATTGATGCTGGGATTGTGATGGACCACTTTTTTGTCTTGCTCATCATTGTTTAGATGTATCTTGAAAGTGATGCTTTCCCTTCATG